CACCTATGCGTGTCGCGAGAATCAAGCGATGATGAGTATACTTGTCAAACACAGAGTAAGTGTTGCTGTTAAAATATTGGATCAAGAAGACGATTTTATTCGATAAAATTAAGAATTTCTCATTACTAATGTTTACTTATTAACATATTATATTATATGTTATATATTATATTATTAACTCATTCAATATTAACATGGCACTTTGGATGCACTTTGGCATCTAATGGATGCATATTGGATCAAAAAGACGATTTTATTCGATAAAATTAACAATTTCTCATTACTACTGTTTACTTATTAACATATTATATTATATGTTATATATTATATTATTAACTCATTCAATATTAACATGGCACTTTGGATGCACTTTGGCATCTAATGGATGCATTAATGGCACTTTGCACGTCGAACACCAGTATCGTCGTTCTTGTCTAATCTTATTTTCATAAGAATGTAAACATCTCCGTGTAGGATTGATAGGTCCAAAAATATTCGAAACATCTTGAAATTTGAGAATATGTTTTTGTTTTCACTAAAATTACAATTTAAATAGCCAACGGTCACTACTTGTTACGCGCGACGAGCTGTACTCGTCATGACGTAATATACTGCCCCTTCTGTATGACGAGTATACTCGTCGAACACAGCTAACCGGTTAATCATAATCTCTGCCTCTGATCCATCAAATTGTGACTCTTGAGTAAAATGTTGTAATCCTTGGGGAAAGTATTAGAATCTCCTTATGCAAAATATTACAGTCGGTAAAAGTCTTGAATAAATCGATAATTAATCAGCGAATAAATCAAGTTGCACTTTTGCCGAGAGATTTAATGCAATATTGAGTGCCGGTAAATGTCTGTACATTGAGAAGCTATCTGACTCTGTATTAAGATTATGAATCATTGTAACCGGAGAGATTACGTACCAAAAGCTAACAAAGATAATTCATTTAGATTTTGAAATTCTCGATACGATAATCTACGAGCTCTGTACTTTTGGCTCCAGTAATCTTTTGGTGGATTGACACTAAACATACCGATGATTGACGTGGGATCAAACTGACTTGTTTCTCAAATTAAGTCATTTAAGAAAAGACACAGCATTCTAGGCGTTCCTATGTTCCTATTTTATGAGCGAAAATTAATTGTGAACTGAATAGTAATAGTAATAATAATTAGAGAGAACTTGGATTCCTTTTCTTTTTCTATGCAAACGTCGAAATCTTTCATCCTCACTGTTTACTACTGAAATCATTGTATGATGATGGATATTCATTTACACTATGTACTTGATCATTTCCATCATAGTCGGTGTCAGAACAATTTTTGTCCTAATTATACATTTCTTCCAGTAATTTATTGTTTCGTGAAAATTTTCCCATAGTTTTCAAGTAATTTCATGGGAATGTTTCTGCAGATCGCGATAAAAAATAGAATCCCGATTTTCTAGAAGTATCACGGCATAAAATAACGTTTCCTCTGTAAACGTATCTTCTTGACTAAATGCGAAATATTTTCTGCGATGCAAGAGCATCGAAAACAAAAGAATATCGATATATACAAGTATCACATGTTTTTATAAACAAGCGAAGATATCGTTATGGCCAAGTAACAATATGAAGAACAAGAAGAAGTAAAAGAAGAATGAAAAAATTGTGCAAATATAATACATGTATCTTATGGCAACGTTTGTGCAACGCATATGTACGAAAATGTACATTAGTTTTTAAAAATATATTTGAACTATACGAAACTAATATATAAGATACAGTAAATTACAAGTTTACCTACGTGCCGTGGGAGTCAAAATGACTCATCTCGGCATACGTAGGTGTACTACATAAAATTGTACAACAAAAAGACAAGAATAAAGAAAATTGCTTTATATAACTAATTATTTACATATTTTAGAGAAAGTCGTACAAAATTAAAAAAGAACAATAAAATGTACTGAAAATGAGTAATGATTATAAGAAATGTCAAACAAGTGATCTTGACCCCCCTTCTCTTCTAGCACCAAATATATATTCCATTTGTTATTTTGGCTACAAACACGAAGCTTTTTAGTTAGACGTTTAATTACTTTATTTCCACGTGTAGTTACTGATTAAAAAAATATGCTGTTACAGTATTAAAATAGAAGTAATCTTCTATCTGTTCAACGATGAGTAGACAACTAACTTATCTTTCACTGGATAGTGTCAACACTTTATTTAGATTTCAGATAATTACTCAAAAACAGAAAAAAAACAAAAATTTGTCTAGCGTCCCAGAAACAGCGTTTTATCAATTAGCACGACAAACAGAGTGTCAAGTAGCTGGTCTTCGAAGTCCTCGTGTAATCAGATTATATTTTATGGGAGCAAGGATCAATTAAGATCTTTAGAGGTTTACTATTTCAGCGTTATTATTTCAAACTATTTTAACAGCCGCATCATCGTTTGAGGATTTTGTGTTATACGATTTATGATCAATCCATCTGGTGTACAATTATCACGAGGCATCCGTTCAACCAGTTAATTGTTGCGATCTCTTTGAAAATTTGTCGCAAAAAGTAAGCGATGAAGAGTATACTGCCTAACTCAGACGCTGTATAAACTCTTCTCATAATGATTATTTATACATTTTTATTTGTTCGTTTCATCTCGTCTTGGTCTCCAAATATTCAAAACATCTTCCAAATTATAGGTATATTTTAGTTTGCATTAAAATTACAATTTAAACAGTAAATTGTAACTATGCTTTACTCATGACGAGTAGACTCGTCATAACACAAAATACATATTGTCATTTCTTCGTGACGAGTATACTCGTCGAAAACAGCTACCTGGTTACAGCTGCCTGGTTTACCTAGATTGCAAAACCACCGCCACAAAAAATACCGCAAAATCAAATCTAGTTAACAAAATCAGAGCCAAGGAGTTCTCAAAGATGTCGCGATAGAAATTAACATTCAAAAATGGACGGAAGATCGTGTCACCTCGACACCAAGACCGACATTATTGGTTCAGTTGACATTCAGTTGATATTCTTCTCACCCTATGAGAAAAGTTCTGAAAAGAGCATAAATTCTTCATCGAACTTCCAAACGATCGCTTCCAATTCTCATATCCCAGGATCGTTGAAAATGAACGAAAACTTGAATAAAATGTATGTCATTTTCCTAAAGCGTCACTTAGCTACCAGTCAAAACAAAACCAGTCGAACAAGGTTCGCCGTCAATTCAGCGAGACGCAACCAGGATCCAAAGAATCGGAGATAGGGTGTCGCATGATCGACAATCGCGTCCGAAACGAAAGTTAGCATACTCGAAGAGCATCCAGTGATATCGTAGCTCGTACCGCCGATTCGAGAGAGAGTCCAGGGGGCAAACGCGCCAGGGTGGAGGGAAGAACCGCAGCCTAAAAATAAGCGGGACCCCGTTATCAGCCGGCCGAGGTTTACACAATCCTGTTTGCACAATACTCCACGAAGCCGTGCAACAATGCTACGCTGACTACGTGCCTACACGTGGAGGCGTCACGAGATGAAGACGCTAACAACCACGCCGTTGGCATGGGTGTTGAAACATTCTTCTAACCAATAGCACCCAGCTCGTCCATCTAACTCGTGGCTACTCGTATTTATATCCGTGGCGACCTTGCGCTGAACGATCGTGAAAAGGGACAACGAGGAAGGAGAACGTGAAAGGGACGTTGACCCGCTAGCGATTCCTATCTTGCCATCGTCATCCTAATGCTCTAGGTGCATTCGAAATTTTAACACCGAAAGATTCATATTTTTGCTAGGATTAGGCTGTGGATCTCTGTACGGAAAATAAAAATTGACTTTGTAATTTGTGACAAACAATAGGTAAATAGAGATTTCGTTATTTCTTTTAATGATTTTAACGAGTTGTTAAATTATTCTCTACTGTTTCTTTCATCAAACTGTTTTTGTATTAAATGCTTAAATAATAATTTAGTATTAAATGTCATGTATACTTTTGAGAAATGCGAACAAAATCATTATCATGCAAAAGTCGTATACTATTAGTTTTTTTTTCGGTGTCAAATGTATAGTATCCTCTCATGAATGTTTACAAAAATATTATCTTGGAAAAATCGTACGCTACTATAGTCTTTTTCGGTGACAAACGCGTGTTCTGTTATAAATCTGAACAAAAATATTATCTTAAAAATTTCGTACATTCTAGAATATTATAAGCATTGCATTTTCAACCAACGACAAGTGTAAAATTCAACTGATTTTCTTCACCAAGATATAATATATAATATATAATTCAGTCAGATCTTCAGTTCACCAAGAGCTTTTTATTGTACCATAACGTAATTCTGAACACGAGAAAACGATGTTAGTACAATTGAGCCTTTCATTTTGAAAGTGACATAAGTCAGTTTACCGTAATGAAAAGTGGTGATTTTGTAACGTTTATACGAAATTATTTATACTGAAAAAAATATCAGTATCCTGAGATAACGAATACAAGTAAATCTTCTCGAAAGTTAGCATCCATATTTTGAAACGTGTTAAAACGCAAACCCTTAAATATATCGACTTAAAAACAAAGTGACTTATGCCACTTTCAAAATAAACGGCTCGATTAAAACACAGCAAAACCATCGATTATAATAATAATATATAATAATATAATAATATAATATAATAATAATAATATAATAATATAATAATAATAAAATAATATATAATAATGATATAATAATTTTCATCGATAATAGAAAACTCAGCGCTAGTACGATAAATTAGTGTTGTGTATCTCCATAAATCAAAAAATATCAAAGTTCGTATAATCGAGGTTCAACTGTGATTACGGGAAAGAATGAGTATTTTAAATCGAACTGCATCTTCTCTCCGCCACGATAAGGCCAACCGGGCCGATGCAGCAGTACAAGTACAAAGTCCAGCATATATATTCCTATAAAAACCGAATCCATCGATTCGCCGGCGAAATCGTCGTGTATCCCGAAGCGACCGGTCTTCCAAGACGGCGAGGCATTCCAGAGGACCAATCGAAACTGGATTTCCACTTTCCTCGGGCTCAGTCGATTCCAGTCTGCCCGATAAATCGGTTCCGGTAGCATCGCTCGCAGCGATAAGGGAAATATTGTTTTCGTTGGTTTGATCCCGAATTTGCTTCTGCCGCCGCGACGTATCAGGCAACGTTGATTTGTGGACGTCCGCCGCGAATGATCCCTCGGCAAACAGTATGCACCGCGTGTTTTCCAGCGAGATGACGACGCTTCTCTCTTCCTCCAACTCTCTCACTCTGTCTCTGTCACCCGACATGTAAATTGTTCCGGTTGACACGGGTCGTATCTTATCGGCGATTCACAAAATATGTACAAGATACAAAGCCGTTCGCCTCGTTGCGCGCGGGTCGACTGGTTCAATTGTCTGCGATCGCTGCTGGACAGTATCTCATTAGGGAGGAGCCTGGTCTACGGTTAAATCACTTTTCGCCGAATTCCTTAGATTCGCGATCCGTCGGCGTTGGTCGATTCCTCTGTAGCGTCGCGCATCGTCTAGAAGTCGGATATTCTTTTTACTATACGCGCTCGTCTGATCCTGTTGTGGTAAGTAGGAACTATTGTGATTGCTCTTCGTTTTGGAAACTGTGACTGTAATGTGTACGCTAGGTGAAACCGTTGGAATACCTTCTGGGAATAGGTATCTTGTGGATGCAGGCTCGTTGTTGGTCGAATTTTGAATGTAAAAGTCAGCTGTGCTTTTTGGGAATTTTTATAGCATTGCATGTACGGAACGATGTGGAACATTGTGCTGAAGATGATGATAGATTTTATGCTTTCGTGACGAAAATGGTTTCGAAACAGTAGCAAGGTAAAGAGAAATTAAGGATATCGGTATACATTTCTTGAACTATGATATATACTTCTGCAAATTGCTCTATGGTTTCTCTGTGTTGCAAACTGATGAAAACGTTCATACATTTCGAGAAGAAATGTCTTGGCAATTCTAATTGCGAAAGAGTATGTTTAGATACTTCGGACATCGTGTTTGCAAGAACGATGCGAACGGAGATCGTGTTTTCAGTGCAGGCGTCAGCAGTTGCAACATTGTGGCAGTTTTTGTAGTATCCGATGATGATTTATTCCAAGGATGACTCGAAACTCGTGCCAATAATAACTGACTTTCAATTGTGTATTTAACAAAAAAGCTTCATATATATAGATTTTCAAACAAGTTGGACGCTCGGATTTACGAGCAGCAGCCGCTTTAAAAGTCGTATATAATTTCGATTCGTAACTCTTGAAAGACATACTAGAATAAAATACCGTCAAACGTTTTCGATAGAGTATGATGTTCATTTTGTAAGTCTAATGGAACGAAACATTTATGTTCTCATTTATGTTCTTCTGTTCTTCGACCAAATTGACAGCATCATCAATTCAGCTTTCGATATGGTTTGTGCTGGTTCATCACGCTTCGACCATGATCTTTTTCGATTAATATTATTGTAAGCGATCCATTTGTCATCACCAGTGATAATTCGTTTCAAAAAAGGATCGATCGCATTACGTTTGATATGCGTATCGCGAATAAACTGATTCGTTGTGTTAAGTGAATTTGTGGAACCCAAACATCGAGCTTCTTAACAAGTCCGAAACACCTTATGTGACATTCAATTGTTGTGTGTGATACATTTAACCCTTTTGCAATCCCTCGCGCAGTTATATGACGATTCGATTCAATTATAGCATTCATTTTGTCATCATCAACTTCAGAAGGTCGATCAGAATGTTGGTCACATTTAAGTGAAAAATCTTCGGAACGAAATTTTTTAAACCAATTCTGACACGTGCGTTCTATTAAGCGATCGACGCCATAAACTTCACATATCTCTTTGTGAGCCTCAGCCGTTTCATCGTTTTTATGAAAATGAAAAAGTAAAATGTGTCGAAAATGTTTATTTCTGCATTCCATGTCAAAATCGATAGCAAACTAACATTTGTAAACAAAACTACACGGAATTTGTTTCTATAGTAACCTAAAAATGTCAACTACTAAATCTGAAAACAAAAAAATTATAACCCTAATAGAAGAATGACAATACTTTTGAATAGTTTCCGGTATAACCATGACTTTATTTTGTAGAACGAATAAGGCACGTCTTTACTATACCGTCACTGATCCTATCGATTTTAAGATAATCACCTGATCGAAAATTGCATTGTCATAAGAATTCAAGGAAGAAATATAAAAACATTGTTTGAAATGGTAAAACAATTAAAAATCGTGTTCTTTCATCTTTCTTATCTGAGATTCTAACGAAAATGTAAAAATGCGTTTTGTAGATCTCGATAATTTGTATGCATATCGAAAAAATCATTTATGCTTAAATGAAAATGCTCAAAAAACATGATCTTTTATTTTTTTTTATCATTCCAACCAATTGCAATTATTAAAAACAATTTCTTACCCATTGTCTCGCAAAATAAACTTCCTAATATCTAGAAAAAAAAATTTAGATCATTTCGCCTAATTACAACAAGAAGTTATTAAAAAGTCTTCAGATACTTTCGTGTCTCGCTATATGATCATTAGATAAATCCACCGGACTTTCGTCGAGAAAAAAGTTTCGAAAACCGTCCGATCATCCACGATCGCATACCAATCACACGCTGCCGTGTTTACGTCTATGCGTCGACGAAGTCAGCTTAATAGCTGCCTGGCGTAATCGCTATACTAACGAGCAGCACGCAGGGTTGGTGAACGGTTCGTTCGGACGGGGTACCGATGCGGTGAAATCGGTGAAAAGTCGCCGAGGTCGACGATATTCCCAGCCCCGTTGCGCCGTACAGTGGGTTGGTTCGTGCACGAAGGTCGACCGGCAGCATTGAGAAAGGTCAAGGTCGGCCGAACACGGCGAACAATCGGCACGTGACGAACGTATCAAGCTCGGCCGAGAACTCCGGCCAGCTGCCCCGTTGTTCGTGTGGCAATTTAAACGGGCTGATTGGCTCCTTTGCCTCTGCGCCGGAGCCTAATCAGCCGCGAACAAGTTTTCTCAGGACCAATTCCACGCGTCCCGCGTCGGTGCGACCGCGTAAATCTTCGTCCACCGACTTCTCCCGACGCCCCCCTTGAACTTCAGTTCACGTCCATTCATCGCGCCGCTCCCCTGTTCACACACTGTCCATTCACTGTCGCTGCTACCGCCGATCGATGGACAGTCAGGTGACTTCTCCGTTTCACGAAATCTCTCGTTGCTCGAGCGAACGAGATTTCTCTAAACGGAAAAGATAACGTCCGTGCTACGTGCTGGTGCTCGATGACAGTTAACGTGAGTGCGTGAAGAATTTAGCATACTATGTAGATAGGGGACCATAAATGTGCTTCCGTTGCTCGAACATCCGCGCAACGAATCTTCTTAAAGAACATCATCGAGATCGATCGATGTCTTTATTTTCTTTTTATTATTCTCGCTGATCTAACGTAATCTGAAAATATTAGGTCTACCGGAAAGTTCTGTCTGATAATGTCATTGCAAATTTCGATAGGTATGCACGTGTTCATTCGAGACGTATATTTTTGAAAAATGTTGCTCACAAATTGCCGTCACGCTGGCAATAGGTCAGAAGTATCGACGGAAATTATATTGTACAATAAATAATTATATATTATTATAGTACAATATTATTTACAGTACATTATTTATAGTACAATAAATAATTATATATTATTATAGTACAATATTATTTACAGTACATTATTTATAGTACAATAAATAATTATATATTATTATAGTACAATATTATTTACAGTACATTATTTATAGTACAATAAATAATTATATATTATTATAGTACAATATTATTTACAGTACATTATTTATAGTACAATAAATAATTATGTATTATTATAGTACAATATTATTTACAGTACATTATTTATAGTACAATAAATAATTATATATTATTATAGTACAATATTATTTACAGTACATTATTTATAGTACAATATTACTAAATTTATGAACAATCTATTATTTCCTTTCATTTCTTAAACGGGCGGAACTTTCCGGTAGACCTAATAATTAAGCTTCTTTCGATGCCAGATTTTCGGAGTAACGAGTTCGAATCACATTTCCCGATACTTTACTGTCTGTTATTGTTGTCATGCTTATATGAATCGTGGACTATGTTTCACATTCATTCGGACAAAAGAGTTAAACAATACATGAGTCACAGAATTCGTCAACAATTAATCTCTGTGCTGCGAAAGAGATACATTAATATTTCCAGAATTCAACTGATCTCTAGAATATGACTCATGATGTGGGATCCAAATTTTTCAGTTGCTGTGCCTTTCATCTGTTTTCGGGCATTATTTAGCTTTATATTCATCGAACAAGACATATTAAAAAATGTTCATTGAAAAATAAACGAAATAGAAGAATGAAAAAATGTTTGTATTAGAAAATAAACATAATAAAAGAATAAAAGAAGGTTTGTATTCGAAAATAAACACAATAAAACAATAAAAAAATTGTTTGCATTAGAAAATAAGCAGAATGAAAGAACAAAAAAGTTGTTTTATTCAAAAATATAAACTAAATAAAAGAATAACAAAATTGAAAAATAAGCGAAATAGGAGATGAAAAAATGTTTGTATTAGAATATAAACATAATAAAAGAATAAAAGAAGGTTTGTATTAGAAAATAAACACAATAAAAGAATAGAAAAATGTTTGCATTAAAAAATAAACAAAATAAAAGAACAAAGAAGTTGTCTTATTCAAAAATATAAACTAAATAAAAGAAGAACAAAATTTAATATGTCTCGTTCGATAACTATAAAGTTAATTATACCCGAAAACTACCTATTCCTTCCTATATATATCTATCATCATCGCAAGAATACGTAAGCCTCCTCGTGTTCTTCCAAACTTTCCACTGCTTCATATTCCATGCATACATTGTGCTGTGTAATCTATGAAATTCAAGTGCTTTGAAGTCGATATTCATTCGGTTCGACGAACGTTCCGCAGGCTGTACAATTTTACACAACAATGACTGATCGGTGAACACGTTCCGAAAAAAGCGTAAACTTGTACTCTGATTTCCCTCGATCCTCAAATCGGTAATGCTATCAAGATGAAACTATTTGCTAGATAGCACGGTTCCAAAAAGCGTTTGACCGCCAGTCCACACAATCGAGACGCTCTCGGTCGCTATCACGTGGAGATTTCTGGACACCGTGCTGTTTATCGCGGGCGTTGTTTTCTCCCTGATATCGTGAGCTCGCTGACTCGCTAGCTGTTTCCGAGACTCTATGCGAAAGTTCGCTATAATATCAGTGATTCATGCGGGCACCGTACAGTTTCCAGCCGAGATTCGTCTCGTCAGGGATTGATCCGCGCTCCTCGTTCAAGAGATCGAAGAGTCCGAAGAGATCGGTGGCTGCCGTTGAAAATCGACATCGCTAGAGGTGACTCGTAACCACGATTTTCTACCATTGCTAGTACAGTCAGAATCGAGAAGGGGTTTCGCTTTAGTTGATCAGTGTCGTTCGGAAGATAAAGTGCAATAATTAGTAACAGAATCCGCAATGG